AGGAAAAATGTGCTGCTATTCAAACTGCACCGCAGGTGCTCCTTGAATCACACAAGAAAATTGAAGGAACTTGAGTCTCTTCAGTGTGAACCTTACAGTGTGAACAATAGTCTTATTCTTTTCTAAAAACTTTGTTTCTAACTATATGTCCTTGCTTTTTAGATAGCTACAAATATCACTTAAATGCCAAATGATGGATAGAGGTGTTTTTTAAGACCCGTGTGCATAAGGCCTAATACAAAAGTGGGGCAGAGCAAAGACTGACATGACACCAAATGGGCATTTTTTGGATTGTGGGAATAACTGAGGGCTTCTCTCTGAATCCTATTAAGTTATTAGTCAGTATCTGTTGTCTTAATATTCAATATTCCAGTCAAAAAATGTTTCTTATACAGTAAATATGATATTGTGAATGTGGCATGATAGCGTAAAAAAAAATCATATATATATATATATATATATATATATATATATATATATTTCCCCTCAAAGACTACAGCACAGGATCTTAACCCCTTGACGCCGACGGCACACAAATATGCATCCTCACGGAACTGGGCTTTTTTCCGTGGGGCCGTATATTTGCCTACCTGTCTTTGTGCTGGGAGCGCGCCGTTCAGCGCGCTCCCAGCACAGAGACCGCGGTGTCACTGAGAGCCCGGGTCCCGTTCTAACGATCGGGACCCGGGACTCCAGATTCAGGGTCACGTGATCAGTGTGATAGCCTCTGATTGGCTATAACAGTGATCAGTCACTGTGCAGCCCGGCTTCCTTGTTTTTTCTCTCTCTATTAATGAGAAGAGAGATACATTGTATCTCTCTAACTCCTGACATAGAGAGATAAAAAAAAGTTTGTAAAAAATAAATAAATATTAAAAAATAAAAAATAAAGAAAAATACCTAGATCAAGGTTTTATCTAGTTCAGTGCTAGGGTTAGTGTCTGGGTCAAGGTCAGGGTCAAAGGTCAGGATTTAAAAAAAATTTGGTGTCAGTTAGCGTTAATGTCAGTGTGTTTTTGGTAAAAAAAAAAAAAAAAAAAAAAAAGACAACAACAAAATGCGCACTATTGTTTCTGGGCTGTACTATGGGTACAAACAACATACACATATATGGTGTCGCTGCGATCGTCAAAAGCTGGAGAATTTATTTTGGGTTGTTCTATGGAGGTAGGTTATGGTCGTAACAAGAAACACAGCTAAATAAAAAAAAAACTTTTTATTTTTTTTTACTACTTTGGGCCAGTTTTCCTTTGATAATAAAAAAAAAATTAGGAGAAAAAATTACCATTTTTCCACCAAATGAAAGCCCAATTTGTCCTGAAAAAAACAAGGTAAAATCCACCTGGATGTACAAAGTAGTTGTGATGATATGTACGGTTTTACTATCACATGTCAACGTTGCAGAATTGTGCTAAGGCATTTAGATTTGTTTTACCCTTAAGCGTGAAGGGGTTAAGGTACAAAATGTGTCCTATATACACCAAACACACAGAATAGCATATTTATAAAGCAATCAAACATTTACTTGTGGTGAATCAATCCCTGTTATGCACTGGGAATATTCACCTACAGTAAATGTGTGGTGAATGTTAGATCTACTGCTTTATAAATATGTTCCATTTTGTAACAGTAAATGTATTTTACCTCATGATTCACAAAACTCCACATTGAATCCAATTACAAAAAAGTGTGAATCTTGGGTGAAAAAAAGACCCCAAAGCGACATTTCCAGTTGTCCCTTTAGAAAGGCTGTTTGTTGAAGAATTTTCACTTGGCACTGCTATGAAGCTCCCATTCTACTGACCCAACAGGCCAGAATGGACTAATGTTCATCTGCAAGCAAGCACTATTGAGTTTCTCTGTTTATGTTAGTAGTACTGTTAGCTGCATTTTTCCAGATCCCTTTAGCACTTGACTGTATCAGCTAATAACAAGTGGATGCTAATAGCCTTTCATCAGTCACAAGCAATGTTGCCACATGCCAGGATGATCTTGACTAGGACTAATCAGTAAGGTTCAGCCTGCATGCCTTATGGCTCCAGCTACACAGACAGGAAGGCCAATGTAGGTGCAGACTGACCTAACCAAGAGATAAGAGCTGGACACTGCTATGTAGACATTAGATGTCAGCGTCTTCTTTTCCAGACATACTGGACAGTAGCAGCAGTGGTAACTTGTACCACATCAGCAAGATAAGAAAAAGATAAAATTACTTCTGATGGCTAAAGTGTGCAGATTAATTGACCATCTGACAGCATGACTGATGAGTAGTTTACATCTACTTATGTAAAAAATAAAAAATAAATAAACAAGAAAAAACTTCACATCAATTTAAGTTTTTAGGATAGAAATGCCTGCATTACATTCTGTTAATTTAATCAAAGCTTTATTTAATGAATTCATAATTTTGTTAAAAAAAATATCAGTTGAGTCCAAGTGGACTTACTGCATTACAACTTCACCATGCATAGTGGGCATAATCTAACCTATAAATTTATGCTTAACCTATACACCAACACCTAACGTTTGTGTTAGCCCTAAAATAAATCCTTGTTTTATTCCCACACCTAGACTGCAAAAAAAAAAAAAGACAGCAGAAAGCTGACTGTTAGGGTAAAAAAAAATTATTTTTTATATGCATTTTCATTGAGAAGTTTTTTTTATGTAGAAGCACCCATTATGTACAATAAATGGACTAGAAGAACCCCTATTGCGGAAGCACTGCTAAACAGCATTAATATGCTGTCATGGCATCAAATTACTCTGAACAAGGAGGTGTTTTATGCTAAATGTGACATTTCAAAAAAATTAAATACAACCTGTCAGAAGGGAAACAGAAGCAGACACTGATGACTTCTCATTTTTAAAATGATAGTTTCTTGGCTGTCATGCTGACCCACTTGGCAATTTTGGTACACCTCGGGGGAGATTTACCAAAACTGGAGCACTCAGAATCAGGTGCAGTTGTGCCAATGAGCTTCTAACTTCAGCTTGTTAATTTAGTCTTTGACAATAAAACCTGGAATCTGATTAGTTTCTTTGCAGAGCTGCACCAGATTTTGTACTCTCTAGTTTAAGTAAATCTCCCCCAGTGGCTGTGTTTCCAGTTTTATTCTTCCTCATCAAAAAGTGCCACCACCCTTCCTTTCACTCTGTACTCTTCTACACCTCATGCTAGTGGCTGCTGGTCTCCCTTCTGGTTACCCTTTACCCCAATCCACCAGTTCTGCTAGCACACCTATCTCGCTGATTACTTTGCATCCCTCTCCTCTTACCTTGCACCCCCTTGTCTATATACTATCCCCTTTCTCATCCTGTATAAACTGTATGTAGCCTTAGCTACAAAGAGTATACAGTGCTGTATCCCAGAAGAGGGAGAGGAACTTCCTGTCTCACTCCCGAAACAAAATTGAGTTGGACTGAGAGCTGCTCAGCCATTCACAGCTAGCTTTGTATTCTATGCATGACTACAAAACCTCCTGTGATTGGCTGAGGTGAAGAGGCAGGCAGATGGCATCATGATCTCCGATCTCCTGGATCAACTGTGAGTATAGATTTCTATATGTGAAGTTTTTGTATTTATGTATTCAATTTTTTTTTCTGTTGGTGGTACTAGATGGACTTGTGTCTTTTTTTTCAACCTAACTATGTAACCCTCAACCCCTTTCCTTTCATCCTGCAACGCATACCTTCTCTTTCCCTGTTCCCCACACCCAGAAATCGCAAAATCCTTACCAACTAAAATTTCATCCCCCATGCTCCTGACTTATTGCACTGATAGGCCCTGCTCCTTCCAGCTGGTAAACTGGTGTTCACATTTGATGCTATGCTGCTGCCTGGCATAACCATGACAGGTTGACCCTGCACACAACATCCACCTATACAATGGCATCTTGTTCCTGGGGTCCTCGATCAGCTCCAAAGAGCTGCAGTGGCTGCCACTGGACAGACTAGCTGTTCTTAGCATGCCACTGCCCTTTCCAGGTCAACTGATTTGTGCACTGGAGATAACCTTGGACCTAAGCTGGTGGGGACTGCATGTGTCTTGGGTGACGGATCTCATCACGCTTTGCTCCAGGAACAGCATTTGGCCAGTTAATGTGACCTGATCTGTGAGTACTGCAGTGTACAACATGGGCAAGGTATATGCACACACTACCTTCAGGTGGGTGGTGAGGAGTTAGGAATCCTCTCAAGTTTTTATTGCTGTGTGAGAACTCACTAGAGAGAATCACTATTTGTCCAGGTGACCAATGTGCAGTTGGTAATGCTTTCTTTGAACGGTCTGATGGGTGAGGCTTTTCTATTACCACCACCAATCTCCACAAAGCGCAAAAACATGATTTCATTTTGAAGCTTTTATTATTATTGTAACTTTTAAAAATTAGGTGCCAGCAAAATAATTTTTTCTAAAAAAGTGTATTATCTTACCTGGGCCTTGCCTGTATGATTCAGTAGGGTTCCCCTGTTTTATACCGTTTAATGTGTGGTAAGCAAAGAAAAAGAAAACACTTGCAGAGTCCTAGATACTTTACTGCAGATAACTTTCTCTCTCATTGCAAGGTAAAGGTGACAACTGGCCATTAGTCCTATTGAACTCCATAGCTGATCATTGCAAAAAAAAATAAACCCTGCTTCTAAGTTAGGCCATACATTTTCTTTGATGAAACACTATGAAGAAATATTAACTACATTAAATATTTCAACCCCCATATTCAAAATAAACCACTTCAACTTAATCAAATGCACCCCTTTCATTTGTACAATCAAGTTATTTCATAAATGATCAATTTAACTGCATGTACCATAATTACAATACTGTGTTAGCTGGAGTTAATTAAATCAAGGTGCAGATAATTAATAGTAAATGTAAGACATTTCCCAAAGCTAGCTTGTGAGTAGCTGCAGTGTCATTCGTGGCTCATTTATAGATGCACTTTGCATGGTTGACACTTAAATCTAAACCATCAACTCTCTGGGGCACAAATGTAAATCTTTACCTCAGGCCTCACATATATCACTGTAGCCCAAAAGCTGCATCGCTGACTGAGAACAACCACCTACAACGAAACATCACAGAAAATTAGATACAAAAGATAGGTAAACTAGAAAGCTAAAATTCAGTACATAATTCGCAAAATGCAAATACATAATTTCTATATTAGTGTTATCTTTTTTTTTTTCTTTTTAATCAAATTGTTTTTATTGAAAGATTTGTAGGTTTTACAAAAAACATTCAAACAACAAGAAACAGAAAAAAATATATAAAATGCACTACAAGAGACAGCGGCCTTATATACCGTATATGTTATTTTTTAATGAAATTTGTATCACATCAAAGACATGGTGTATTGTGATGTGTGACATTACAACTCAAATGCTAAAACAAAGTATAAGGCTGCATAGCTGGCACCTTAAAGCTGAAATCCAGGAACATATAAAAGACATGTATTAATAATCACAGAGCTGCATTAATGTTTAATTAAACACATTTTTTAAAAATGAAAGTATTCAAAGTACCTAAATTTAACCTGGTATCTTCCTCTTGCTGGTTGATGATGCTGGTTATAAGACTGAGGACTTTTTTTTTTTTTTGGAGCTTACTTTATATCGCCTTCTGCTATGTTTACTGTCCACCCAACTGCCAGTGGTGTCTACAGCTTGTGCTGCAGTTGTAGGGGCCTTTGCAGCTAAGACTGAGCACTTGAGCAGCTTACCTAGCCCTGCACAAATTTAAACTTTCTTACAAAGTTGTTTCTAACTGAAAAAGCGCCACCCTACATAGGTGCAAAAAACCAACACACACTAAATCAGGCAGCTGACCCTTTTAGTGCAACTTAATATTCACAACATATAAAGACAAAATAAAGGTAGGCACTTGCCAAGACTCAATAGATAATTCCTTGCAGTAATGATAAAAAATATAAGTGCCAACATACATATAAAATAAACAATAAATAGTGCCAATCAATGTCCATAAGTACATTCAAATGTTCATAGAAGATCCTCAAACACCATGTGTCTTGTACCATAACCAAATCTTCCTGTACAATTCACCAGTGCTCTACCACCGTGCCCAGAAAAAAATGCACTTATTGTTTATTTTATATGTATGTTGGTACTGCTCAAAGGTTTACATACCCTGGCAGAAATTGTGAAATTTTGTTATCGATATTGAAAATATGACTGATCATGCCAAAAAATGCTCTTTTTTTGAAGGATGATGATCATATGAAGCCATTTATTATAAAATAGTTGTTTGGCTCCTTTTTAAATCATAATGATAACAGAAATCATCCAAATGGCCATGATCAAAAGTTTACATACCCTGGAATGTTTGGCCTTGGTACAGACACACATGGGTTAAAATGCCAATTAGAGGTAACGTCCCACATCTGTGGCTTTTTAAATTTCAATTAGTGTCAGTGTATAAATAGTCAATGAGTTTGTTAGCTTTTACATGGAAGCACTGACTAGGCTAGATACTGAGCCATGGGGATCAGAAAAGAACTGTCAACAGTCCTGTGTAAAAAGGTAATGGAACTTTATAAAGACGGAAAAGGACATCAAAAGATGTCCAAAGCCTTGAATATGCCAATCAGTACTGTTAAATCACTTATTAATAAGAAGTGGAAAGTTCGGGGGTCTCTTGATACCAAGCCAATGTCAGGTAGACCAAGAAAGATTGCAGCCACAAATGCCAGAAAAATTGTTTGGGATACAAAAGGGAAACCCATAGGTAACCACAAGAAAAATACAGGCTGCTCTGGACAGTGTGGTTGTTTTAAAGAAGCACAATATGATGACACTTGAACAAAAATGCGCTGCATGGTCGAGGTGCCAGAAAGAAGCCTTTACTGCATCAATGACACAAAAAGGCCTGGTTAGGCACATCAAGCATATTGTAACTGGGCTTTTTTGTGGCACTGGTGAAGTAAAAGCTTCTTTCTGGCACCTCGACCAAACAGCTCATTTTTGTTCAAGTATCACTGTATTGTACTCCTTAAAAACAACCACACCATCTTTTTCCAGAGCAGCCTGTTTTTTTTTTTTAGGTTGCCTGTGGGTTTTTCTTTGAATCCCGGACAATTCTTTTGTCAGTTATGTCTGCAATCTTTCTTGGTTTACCTGACCTTAGCTTGGTATCAAGAGATCCCCGAACTTTCCACTTCTTAATAGGTGATTTAACAGTACTGATTGGCATATTCAAGGCTTTGGACATCTTTATATTTCCTTTTCCATCTTTATAAAAGTTCTATTACCTTGTTACGCAGGACTTTTCACAGTTCTTTTCTGAGCCCCATGGCTCAGTATCTAGCCTAGTCAGTGCTTCCACGTAAGAGCTAACAAACTCAGTGACTATTTATACACTGACACTAAATGCAATTTTAAAAAGCCACAGATGTGGGACATTAACCTCTAACTGGCATTTTAACCCATGCGTGTCACCTTTTGTGTCTGTACCAAGGCCAAACATTCCAGCGTATGTAAACTTTTGATCATGGCCATTTGGGTGATTTCTGTTATCATTATGATTTAAAAAGGAGCCAAACAACTATTTGATAATAAATGGCTTCATACAATCATCATCCTTCAATAAAAGAGCATATTTTGGCATGATCAGTCATATTTTCAATATCAATGGCAAAATTTCACAATTTCTACAAGGGTATGTAAACTTTTGAGCACAACTGTACATACATACATAAACACAGTGGGTAAAATAAGTAACATGCCACCATTTTGTCGGAAAGGTTTACCACATGAAATTTTACCACGTCAATAACAACCCATGCAGTCCAGACATGCAAAGAAATCAAAACAAATAAGTTCAGAAATTAAGTTATGTGCAATAAAATGGAATGCCACAGGGAAAAAGTACTGAACATGCTAATTTAAATGTAATACTTTGTACAAAATCATTTGTTGGTAATGACAGCTTAGACGCCTCCAGTATGGAGAAAGTAGTTGCATGCATTGCTCAGGTGTGATTTTGGCCCATTCTTCCACACAAACAGTTCTCAAATCTTAAAGGTTCCATGGGTCTCTTCTATGAACTCTGATCTTTAGTTCTTTCCATAGATTTTCTATCGGATGCAATTTGGGTGATTGGCTGGGCCATTCTATCAGCTTTTTCTTTCTTTGAAACCAATTGAGTGTTTCATTGGCTTTGTGTTTGGGATCTTGTCTTGCTGAAATGTCCACCCTCGTTTCATCATTCATTTTTATTAAGAATGTCTTGATACATTTTTCCATTTATCCTTCCTTCAATGACATGAAGTTTGCCAGTACCGCATGCTGAAAAACAGCCCCACAGCATGATGTTCCCACCTCCAAGCTTCACTGTTGGTATGGTGTTTTTGGGGTGATATGCAGTGCCACCTGACCTTCAAACATGGTGTGCATTAAGGCATCCAAAGAGTTCAATTTTGGTCTCATTTGACGAGACTATATTCTCCCAGTATTTCATAGGCTTGTCTAAATGTTGTGCAGAAAACTTTAAAAAAGAGCTTCAACATGCTTTTTCTTCAGCAATGGAGTCTTGCGTGGTGATTGTGAATACAGGCCATGGCGGTTGAGTGCTTCACTTATTGTTTTCTTTGAAACATTTGTACCTAATTCCAGATCTTTCTGAAGCTCTCCACAAGTGGCCCTTAGACAACTCTTTTGATCATTCTTTTCACTCCTCTGTCATAAATCTTGTGAGAAGCACCTGGTCGTGGCCAGTTTATGGTGAAATGATGTGCTTTCCACTTTCGGATTATGGCCCCAACAGTGCTCATTGTAACATTCAGACGTTTATAAATCCTTCTGTAGCCAATGGATTGCGTTGGTTGTTACCGACATGTGGTGAATAATTCATGTCAATAGCACCTTTAGAAATACATTTACCTAGAAAAATGGTGGCATGTTCAATACTTATTTTACCCACTGTATAAATATATACACACAAACACACAGTACTGTGCATGTGTGTGTAAATGAAGGATGCTTTCTGAAATAGAAGTCTTAATAGTTTATATTTATCAATTACCAAAATGATAAGTAAATGAGCAGAAGAGAAATCCACATCAAATCAATATTTGGTGTGACCACCCTTTGCCCTCAAAACAGCATCAATTCTTTCTAGGTACACTTGCCCACAGTTTTGAAAGAACTGGGCTGGTAGCTTGTTCCAAACATCTTGCTATCTAACCCCAGATCTTCAGTGGATGCGGGCTGCCTCAAATCCTTATGTCTCTTCATATAATCCCAGACAGACTCAATGATGTTGAGATCAGAGCTCTGTGGGGGCCAGGCCATCACTTCCAGGACACTTTGTTCTTTACACTGAAGATCGTTCTTAATGACATTGGCTGCATGTTTGGGGTTGTTGTCCTGCTGCAGAATACATTTGGGGCCAGTCACATGCCTCCCTGATGGTATGGCTTGATGGATAAGTATCTGCCTGAATTTCTCAGCATTGACAATACCATCAATCCTGACAAAATCCCCAACCCCATTTGCAGAAATGTTCCCCAAACTTGCAGGGAACCTCCACCATGCTTCACTGTTACCTGCAGACACTCATTATTGTACTGCTCTCCAGCCCTCCGAGAACAAACTGCCTTCTGCTACAGCCACATATTTCAAATTTTGACCCACCAGTCCAGAGCACCTGCTGCCAATTTTCTGCACTCTACTTTCTCTGTTTTTGCGCATAGATTAGAAATCCAACATGCCAGGGAGACTATGGTCTTGGCCATGGGGCGACTCAGAGACTGATTATGCTTGTCCCACACAGCCAGAGTGCTGACTTACTATGACCTGGAATGAAACTAAGCATACAGCACCCATCTCAGGAGGCCATCCTCAGACCCAGAACTCTCATGCATAAGCTCATGAAAGGTTGACTCCTGGATTGAAGCAGCCACATGTTAAGTGTGATGGGAGAGAAGCCTTTCCCAGAAAGAAAGACCCAGGACCAGGCCATATCCAAGACTAATTGAGTATCCACCCTAAGCTGTGCAATGTCTGTGCAGTCCGCTGGGCACTGGAAGAAAGAGCATGAATGAATTGA